TGTTTGTGCCAGTAGAAGCCTTAGCTCTGGACATCTTACTGGCTTCTAGAGGACTGAACTGCCTCTCCAGGGACAGGCATTTACACATTTGTAGCATGAGGAAAGCACATCCTTGCTTGAAATGACTCTGGAATTGGACGGAACTTAGCAATGTGGTATGTTTCTCTGGTGCTGCATTAAATCCTTTTCATAAAAAAAAAAAAAAAAAAAAAAAAAAAAAAGATACTATGGGCATTTTGACATTTATTGGAAGAGGAAAATCAGCTCATGCAACTGAAGGTACTGAACACAGTTCTGAAGTGAAGATCAGAAGCCAAAGGTCCGGAGGTTGTGTGATGGTGCAGAGACACAATGCTGTGTGTGTTTCTGGCCACCCAGGCAGACAGAAGCACGGGTAAGGGAGGACTTCTAGGCTTCTGTAGAAAGAAACTAAATAGACTGCCCAGTCAAGTAAGGATAATGGTTCTTCGAAAAAGTTGTTAAATTTGGTAGTGTTTTAAAAGGAAAACTACATATATATGATGCCAATTTAGGCAGCTGTAAAGGATACAATGTGAAGAGGAATCTTCTCTCCTGTTCGGCTTACCAGGCTCAAGTCCCTTTACTGAAGTCCTCATGTGAGCAGTTCCTTACATATCTCTTAGAGACATCCTCAAAATGTGTAAGTGGTACATGCAAAATCTTGATTAAATAAGAGGATAGTGCATAATAAATACCCAGTTTTGTGCCATTCTTCTTTTGCTTAAAGTGTGTCATAGAAATAATTATTTGTATTCTGCTTCATTTATTTTAATGACTGTGCGGCATTCCATGCTAGGAATATAACATAGCATATTTAACTAGTTACCTTTAGGGGCTTGTTAAGATCACTGTCCATCTTGCACTTAGAAATCGCGCTGCAGCCAGGATCCTTATCAAGCCTATCTTCACCTACAAAAACCTGGTTTATTTTCCCTGAAAACTGTTAAACAATGGGTAGGAAGAGGCACAGAAATAACCAATTCGCATAGATGCCTAGGCAATAATAATTGAATAATTGGAAACATTATTCACAAAGTAGTAAGGACTTTATAAGTAGACGTTTAAATCTTATGCCTCTATGAGAAAGCTATTATTACTGGTTGCATTTATTCGAGCAGCTTGACTCTGGACCCTTTGCTCCTATTTGCTAAACTGTATTGCTTCTGAGTTCTTCTATTGCTACTTTGGTAGTGATAGGACGTTTATTGGATACCTACTATGCACTGAGTGGCTGATATGCATTAGTGGCAATTTTCATAACAGCATTACAGATGTTGCTTAGGAATTCTACTGGAGTTTAATAAATGGCCCGAAGTCTCAAAAGTAACAAGGCAAGTGCTATGAATGGAAGGGAAGCAGGATGTCCGACTCCTGAGGGTAAGGCACGACAAGGAAGAAAGTGTCAGCCATTCAAGAGAAATGAGATTATGATACAAATGGGATTTAACCCGTTTATGTCGAAGATTGTAACTTTAAAATTTTTTTGCATGAAATTCATGTATTTTACCTAGAAAAACCTAAGGAATAAGAATTTGAAAAGAAAAAGAAAATTATTCTGTTCTGTTGTTATAGTGTTCTGAAAATGAATTGCTGGGTGTTAGAGGGTTAATTTGACACATTCAAGCGATCAGCAGGTCACAGAGGTCTGTGGCAAGAGGCAGTGGCAGAGAGACCTTGGCACACGGAGAAACGATCCACGGCCCACAGTCAGGCTTGGTGTCCTGTGTGGATCCCACAGGGAGCGTTTTCCGGGGAGAACTGTTCCAAATCTGGACGCCTTCTCCTCTCCGTCTGTTTCAGCCTTCAAAAAATTCCACACCTATGCCTTGTATTTACGTAATCAATGACCCACTGTGATGCGTGGCGCTCGCCTGCCCTCGAGAACAGGTAGTGTGAGATGGCTCTGCCCTGAGTTAGGCTTCGTGACCACAGGGAGCAGAAATCACCCGAGTGTTCGCATTGGAAATTCAGAGGAAGAGCTAAAAGAAAGGAATAGCACTGAGGTGTCTCTCGGGGAGGTGCCAATTTCCAGAGGTCAGCGTGTACTATTTTAATCTCAGTGTTTCTGGCAGTGCAGTGCAGCATCTTTTCAGGTGTGTGAAGCAGTTACAGAGAAGCTAATAGTGGAACCCTCTAGAAGATCTGTTGGTTTTATAAAATTATAAAAATCTTGGAAGGCTGAGGGAGAAAGGCAGCAAACTCCAGTTTAGCCTGAGCAACTTAGCAACTTACCCAGACCGTGTCTCAAAATAAAAATTTTAAGAAAACAAAAAAGGCTGGAGATGTGGCTCACTGTCAAAGCCCTGGGTTCAATTTCTGGGTCCAAAACAAAAGTCTCATAGGTCTCATTTACACTGTAATTTGTAACTGAAGTCTAATGTTTTGTTTGGTTACTATTATGGCTGGCTGTATTCTATGAATCAGTTTTATAATCTAGACTCTTTGTGTGCCAGGTTTTTGGGTTTAAAACACCAATTTTTCCAGGTTTCAGAATATTTCTTTAACTCAGTGAATTTTGATAGAGTTTCACAGGAAAAATAAAGATGTCGAAAGTATATAGTGATTATAAAAATAGTATCTAAATGTATCACAGGTGTTTACTGCGGGTCAGATCTGTGCAATGGCTTTATACGCAGTGTCTGGTTTAATATCAAACTCCTACCAGGCAGCGTGATTATTTCCGGCTATTTGATGGATCTTTTATTCAACTGTTTAAGATTAATCACTATAATTATGCTAAAATTTTGAAATAGAAGGAAGTATTCTCTAATTCTATATAACCTAGCCAGCCCTTTATATTCTCTAGCTCTACATCCATGGATTCAAACAAGTATAGATTGAAAATATTCAGGAGGACTGGGGACGTAACTCAGTGGCTTAAGTGCCTGCCTGGCAAGTGCAAGGTCATAAATTCTATACCCATTACCAGTGTGTGTGGGGATAGAATTCATGACCTTGGTATATATACCAGTATATATATCCAAATATATATACCACTATATATATATATATTCAGGAAAAGAATATAATTGGAATGAACATGGACAGATGATTTTATTATTTCTTTGATAATAGAGTGTAACAACTGCTTACAGAGTGTTTACATTGGATTATCTACTGTAGGTATTCTACATATGATTTAAAGTATATTGGAGCATATACGCACCTCACATGTAAATACTATATCATTTTACACAGGGACTTAAAGATTCTTAGAATTTCGAACGCTTCCCCTTTTAAAAGGGGTCTTGGAACCCATCCTCATGAACACTGGGGATGACTGTGTTTCCAATTTTGGCATTTCTCCTCCCAGACTCTGTTCAAAAGTACTCAGTAATCAATATATGAGCAATTTCATATTCTACTGTTTAAAATTTCAAATAGCGAGATGAAGTCGGCTTTTCTCAGTCTTCTTCATTATCATATAATGGCTGCATATAAGTAGTCACCAGAATTTAAGCATTAATTTCTTTCTTTGGGGACATTATCTCTTTTTCTCCTATAGATTCTATGTAGCATATTTCATTCTCCTTGCATTTGGGGGAAGAAAATGCTTTTCTCGGTCAAGGGTGAAGATCTCTTTGAATCATTCTAACTATCTGAGTTAGGGTCATTGTGAGAGAGGAGCATTGTTGAAACACTTATTTGGGGTTCTTAAAAAATGTCTATTTTAACTCTTTTAAGAAATGATGTCCTTCTAAGTATTTGAAAGATACGATTTTGAGTGAATATATGAACAATCAATATGTGGTAGCCAATACAAGGCCAAGAGTGAATTTTTGCATTATTTAGCTTTAAAAGCAGGTAAATAGGGCCTCATAGAGGGCAGTGTATGCAATACATTTATCATCATGTATGGGCCAGGTGTGACTATGTTCTGGCATCCCTGGCAGTTATCACAGCATTTAGTAGTGAGTGAGATAGAAATAGCTCATTTCCAACCAGTGTGTTACCTAAATCATAATCAAAGATTTTTTTTTTAATCCTCAACATGGTCTCACAAAACACTCACAACCTTTGACAGTTCAACTTTTTTTTTGTTCTTTTGCTTTTATGGAACGTATTTTTAAAATCATAACAAGAGGTGATGGATAAAGAATATCTTACTTTCAGAAATATATTAGCTACATATTGATATAAATCTATTATTTCTATGAATTCCTGAAGCTATGTTTTTCTCTCCCACCCAATTCTGATGGAATTTTAGAAATCCATTTTCCTCCCCAGAATGGAAGAATCATCTTATTCTGATTGTATAAGCTTAGCTTATATCTAAAAATCTCACAAGCTTATCTTTTCACGTCTTTAGGCTAAATAACTTTAGGCTAAATAACCAAGCATGGGGACATCTTGCAGAAATGTCCTCATGTGGAAAAGGGTGGGCAGAGATAACTTTATATGGTCAGAATGCTGCTTGCGTGGGTTGACGTAAGACTGCCTGGTCACAAAGTCAGATTTGCAGGTAACGGTTTGCTAACAGACATTAAGATAGCACAGAGATGGGTAAGAGACACAAGGGCATTTGAAAAAGAAGCTCCCTTAGAATTTTTTGAGTGCCCCTTAAATTTGTAAGGTCTCATAGCCTTAACATTGGGGTTAGAGTCCTTCCTAATGCAAATTTTCCCATTCCCCTCCCCATCTAAAGAAAAACCCTTGAAACCGCATGCGTGAGATTTGTGTTCTTGGTCCCAAATCAATCTTGTCACTCCTCGGAAAGCAATGCAAGATAATAAGTAGTATTCACCTGATTGCTTTCCTGCTCTGAGACAGCTAGTGACGTGTGTCTTCCTGATAACCAGGACTTTCAGATCTGAGGCAGGGATAAAGGGAAGCCGGGAGCTCTCGGAATCTAAATTTGACAGTCGATGGCTGAGGAGAGGGTCAGAAGGGATAGAATCTGTGACACAAATGAGAAAGAAACCAAATTTATGTGCTGCGGTGGCAATGATTAGATGTCTCTTTGTCTGGCTTCCTTACAGTGGGTGACTGATCATACCCACCAGCCGGCTAATGTCAGAATTAACAAAGTTGCTACTACATCTGCAAAGTTTAATCGAAAAAATTTACCGATGATACGATGGCATCGTCACAGAGATCCCAAGGGACAGAGAGTCTACTTCTGCTCAAGGTGGAAAAAACCGTGCAGGCAAGATGAGAAATTCCGAACCAGCTCGACCAAAGGTAGGTTCTTTTATAGTTCTGTATGCTCGGTTTTCTAAGATTGTTTTGGCGATTGTTAGAGTCTATGTTACTTTTGTGGATGAAATGTTTCATAAAACGATCTATATGATATTTGAGCATTTATAAGATATTCTCTGAAAGTTCTGGGGTTTTTATTTCCAAAATCTGAAAATTCTAATATGTGATGAAGTAGTTTTGTGATGCTGAGAATGGAATATAAACATTATTTTGCCTGTCGTGATGGCCAGCTCACCTTTATCAGTGTTTGGGATAACTATTGGGTATCAAATGTCAATTGAACATTTATACTGTGTAGCAATGGATTTATTTTGCTCAATGATATAAAAACCTTTATTTTGTTTTACCCTGAGTCTCAAACCAGTTATAAGAGAAAGGAAAAAAAAAAAAGAAAAGCAAAGGCAGTTTTAGAATATGTAGAGGCTCTCTTTTGATTTTAAGAAGTGCTCGAAATAAGACACGGGGGTCTAAGGTCTTGATTTAAACCTCGCACAAATTAATTATAGCTTGTTAAAAACATTTTTAAAAACTATGTGCTATTCTCCAATGCTACTCTGCTTATGGAACGTTATAGCTATGTTTTCTGTTTACTGTGATCTGCTTTGCTTATTTATATAGTCAAGCTCTGGGGTGTTGCCCAAATTACAGTCTTCCCATATTGCTGATTAATGAGTGAATACTGATGAAGAGAGGCTGATATCTCTGTGTTTATGCCGGTGTATTTCCTCTGAGTACAGAAAAGGGGCAAAGAGGTCTCAAAAAAAGTGCAAAAGCCAAATTTGATCTATTTATGCTGTGTCACACCACAGCTACAATAGCACTGTGCTCGATTTTCAGTATAATCAGAGGCAGATATTAAGGTTCTCCTTTTTTTCTGTGGTCATCTAGGTCACTACATCACGGCAAAGAACTGCAATTCGTCTTTTGCTCATTACTGTGATGTTCTGTGTGAATAGCGATTTTTAAAACTTATAGAAAAGCAGTCCAAAACAATTAATACGTACCATGTATACTTTAAGTAACTCCATTTAAATTTTCTCAGAGTTTTATTTCTAACTCCAGGAAGCTTAACAGCTTCAGTATATTGATTTTTAAATTTTGGCATGAAAATTTTACATTTTCAAATAGAAGTAATGAATTATGTTATAGAATTATGAATTTAAAATGCTTCAGGTATCCAAATGACTTAAAACACTTTATCAGAATTTTAATTCAAATTTGACTTAACATTTTTATCACAACTAAAATATAATAAAGTTGATTAGCAAAGCTGAAAGTAGAGGTTTTGATCATTATTTTATTATATCCTGGACATCTTTCCACATAATGTTATTTGTAGAATAGAGACTTTTTTAATCCTTTCATTTTGATCCCCCCTCCCCCAGTATCTGGTACATAACAAACATTCAATATATAGTCGTCAAGTGAATAAATGCACGAATCTAAGTATTGCTACTGTTACTCAATTATGGTTAACATTTACTTCCTCAAAATCAATAACTTGCACAAAGCACACATGGTGAATAAAAACAAGTAGGTGAATGGTAGAATCACAGAAAATACAGAGGTTTAGATTCCTAAAATATGTACTGTTGTTTTAACCTCAACCTCCATCATACTTTGTGTAATTGAGACTTGATAGCATCAGAACTCTGCTGGGGTGTCAGAAGTCAGAAGGATTAGAAAGAGCCAGAAAGTTGTTCCCAGCTGATCCCCACCCCTTTAAAATGGGATTATCGCCTCAGAAGTGTAGAAATCAACTCTTGTCAGAATTTCAAGAGAATTAATATTTTGGAAAATGTGCTAAGGTAAAGAGTTAGAAGATTAGTGAAGCGCAATGAATGAAATGCATTCTTTTATGTGAAAATACAAAAAGAATAAATGTCCTGCAGGTGAATGGGGCTGTAGCAATCTTATTTAGGATGAAAGTCTGATTGGCCCTTATTAGGATGATTAACCTTTCTGAAATTAAGAGCCACCCCTGAATTAGTCTGTCCAATTTAAATGCAAACATCAAGTAGCTCCTATGTCATTCAAATAATACTTTTTAAAAACCCTCTTATTTTAGTTTTCTTTTTTGTGCTTCTGGATGAAAGACTATTTTGGAAGTACTGTACCTTTGGCAAGAGTTTCGTAGTGGCCAAGAATCAAGAGATGATGTATATATCATTGAGAACGTGTGGGGTAAATGTCCCAGATACCGCTTCCCCCAAAACATCAAAACCACTACCACAATGAAAGCAGGAAATATGCACCACACTGAAACTGCTTGTTTTCTATAGCAAATCAACCTAGGACAACAGTAAATAGCAGTGACATAGGATTCCATGTCCAGTCTACCCGGTGGCTCCTGAAAATGTATGCCTTTGGAGCCTGTTGCATACAAAGCACTCTTGAAAGTTAATCTTGCTATCTGGAATTTTGTTTTCTAGGTCTCTGTTAGAGTCAGGATGCAATCAGTGCTTTCATTAAGTTTTAAAACGTTATAAGAGAAGCAAAGCCTTATTGTTTGTGATGCTATTTAATGCTTTATCTTTGTTTTCATTTGTTAAACTTCCTTGAAGGCGTTGTGAAGCCTCCAACAACTGTTTCCATTTTTCATATTGCATTAATTTTTCTATTACCAAACCAGAGAATCTTTTTCAGTTTTAGGTCCCTCCACACAGTGAATACGTCTTTCTTTTATGTGTCTGTGAACTATTAAAATGGAAATAAAGGTTCTCTTCGTTCCATAGGTAATTTATTTCTCTCTCTTTCATCAAAGAATTCACTCTGAATATGTCAAGGTAGAAAAGTTCAAGGTATTATAGTGTAAAAATTAAGAAGCCTGAGGTGCTGTAGTTTATTTTTGCACAAGCTTTTCATGTATGCTTTCAACATCCTTATGAAAGATAGGATTCTCTACTCTAGGCATGTGAAAAAAAGTCTAAGATGAAATACTTGTGGGAGAGAAACAGATTATTCAGTTTGCAAAGTGACTCTGTAATCCTCCAGAGACTTGGATAATACCTTGAAGCTTAGATTAATAATAATATGTTTAAATAAGATCTGTTTGCTGGAAGGATCATTTCCTAATTCTTAATTGTGGGGCAAGTATATAAACAAATATGCTATTCTGTTCCTTGTCTGATAAAGAATAGACGATGAGCTTTAGCTTTGGTATAGTGAGTTGTCAAACTTTTAAAAACCTGATTATTCCATGCTAATACTTGTTTTCTTATTAAAGATAATTTTTGCTAAACAATAAACACGACTGCCATGTTAATTCCTAAAATACGCACTCTTAATTCTTCAGATATAATTCAAAAATCTTTAGTTTAGAATAATCTTATTTGACTTCTTACAAGAACTAATGAAAATGACTTTCAGAATTCACATTTGTTGCAAATACAGAAACATTCTTTAAGCATAAAAAGCTAATGTGCCAAAATACTGATATTGTCATCTATATTGCTATGAATTATCAGCTTTTTTCATAAAAGAGGATCATAGGTTGGGAAGCTGAAATCCATATTGTCTTAGAGATGAAAAAAAGAGTGAAAAAGCAAATAAAAACGGTATTTTGTTAAATCCCAAATCAAGTCTTTCATTTTGCGTCAGTCTGCTGTGAAGACATTTTTATTTCTTTATGTTGTCTCTGTTTTCTGGCATTTCATTCCCCTCTAATTCACCCCATCCTGGACCTGACATTTTCCCTTTTGGTTGTGAAATAATATTAATAAGCCAAGATTATTTCATTTGATATTTTCACAGACCAATATTCCAACTGGAGTCCTTCTGTCTAAAAAGCCAACTGTTTTTTTAAAAAATACCCAAAAATGTTGTTTTATTCATTGTTTTATCCACTGCGTATTGTGAATCAGCAATTTAATTTAATTTCACAGACAGTGAGAGCAAGCCCACCATAACAATTTTATTTTTCTGAACAAAAGAGAATAACAAGTGGCAGACATAAGTATTTTCATAGTGAAAAAAAGTAATCCCATATGAATTTTTCAAGATGTTATTTTATAATAGATCATTCTAGAATAAATTTATTTGGTTGACACTGGTCAAGTGAACTATTTCTTCAAGTTTACTTGGTAAAGTCTAGAAATAATAAATGCCCAATGCGAACATTCTAGCTTAAGTGAGACGATTTGTTTCCTAGCACTAGTTTGCAGGTGAATTGGAATGTAATGACCAAATGTAGTATAGAGGTGTGCATCCTATTCTGTGTGATTTATAATTAAACTTTTATGCCATCTGTACACATGATACTGGTCCCTTATTTCTGCTGAATTGGCTTCAGGACTGGTATGAATGCTAGAGTCCCTTCTATGAAATGACGTGGTATTTACACATAACCTAGGTACATCCACTAAGTACTTTACCCTCTAGACTACTTAGTACAACCTAAGTGTTGTGTAAATAGTTTTGTGCTATATCATTTAAGGAATAATGCCAGAAAAATGTCATTTATGATTAGTACGGACACACATTGTAAAAACTATTTTCCATCCCTGCTGCCCGAACCCACATATGAGAAACTGCAGATATAGAGGGCAAACTGTACTTTGCAATTTGGTGAACTTTTAAAAAATATTATCTTTATCTAAGATACATTCACTGAGCCATATTCAGTGCCGCTGTGTCTTTACTGAGTACTGCCCAGCTCCAAATATCCCCTTACACCCAGCAGGGTGGATCTCTGAGCCATGCTTCACGGAACAGAAACTCAAACTGAGTGGTCAGTGACTTCCCTGAAGGAGGGCAGGTCAGTGGACTGGCCTGGCTTGGAAATCGGTGCCATCTCAAGCCCTCCCTTCACCAAAGCTGTTCTTCCGATGTCTGTAGCATTTCCCCTTGCTAACACTTGGGAGAAGACTCTTATGTACTGAAGCTCAGGAGCACAGTGAAAGAGTCAGCATCTCTTCATTGCTCTGGGGAAAGGCAACGACTTTCTCCATGGAGCAATGGCTCAGGATGCCATGGACTATTCA